GGTCCCGTCGGCGGCGGCGGCGACGACGACGAGAGCGCGCAGAGGCTGGGCGGGCCGTTACTCGCGCGTCGCCTCCCCAGCTCCGCGTCCCCGGAGGCCCCCGCGCCCTGGGAGCTCCGCCCCCGCTCGTCGTGTTCCGCCTCGGGACCCCGGAGTTGTCGGGGCTCCCCAGAGGTACGTATTTGGGGCGCCGCACGTCACTCTGCAGGCCGATTTCAAACTCCCGTGTTGTTCAAGCGTGGTTTGCCTTTTGTGTGTTCCCCGAGAGCGTAAACACCCTAAGCAGGAGGTGTTCCTGGCATTAGCACACGCGGAAAAGCCTGTTTTGTCATAATAAAGCTGTAGTGAACTTTATTGTAAGAGCGTTTATATGTTACAGGTTTCCTTTTTCTACCAAAGTGCTAGAATTTCGTAAACCCACAACTTTTCCCATGGATTCAGAAAAGGAGAAAATCTGTTTTACAACTGCCTGCTTGTTAAACTTAAAAACAATTACGAGCGAGAATAAGGGAAGAGGTACTGTATTTTGCTTCCACATTCTCAAAACATATTTACCTTTTATTTAAAAACTCTCTCCAAAGAGTGCATCCTGTACTCTAAATATATGCTGCCTTTAAAAGGTAATCATAGTTTCATCCTAATAATTACTGTCTTGGCGGTAGATTACAGAAATTTGAAAATCAGTTTTGAAGCAAGTGTACGAAATGCAAATACATAGTTTTATACCCTTTATCACCCCCAAGCCCTTTGCACTGTAGTGAAGGTTCGAGGTGTTTGCAGTGCCAACTGCCAGCCCTGTGCACCCACGTGGGTCAGCCCCTCTGCAGGTCCAGGAGCTCGGGTCTCTACCTGGCTCAGAGGAACAGCCCAAAGGCCGAGGGATGGATTAATTGGCCACACCTGGCACTCAGATTCCAACCAAAGTTGTCAGGCCCAAAGCTGGTGCTCTTCCGTGCCACACTGCCTACCTGGAAGTTTTCTCTTTTGGAATAGAGCTCTTTAGTTATCCATAGTTCATTTAAAACCCAAAGTGTTATTTTACTGGGTTTTTAGGAAACTTCCTTAACATTGTGCTCCATATCTCTTGAAGGGAGTGGAAACAGGGACACCACTCATGGAGTGCTGGGCATTGTTGAATTTCAGATCATGGTGTGCTCAATTTTATTCCAGTGAAAACCGTATGGGTACATAAAATCTTCGTGTGGATTGTGTCATTGGTAAACAATTTGGTGGCATTTAGGTGGAGAAGGCAAGAGTAGAGCTACTGGCAGGTTGGAGCAATGAGGCAAAATACGGAGGAGGAATCAAAAGAAAGATGCAGGCAGTGACAGTAGTGAGGAGTCTAAGAATTCTTTGATCCCAGGCTTTTGATTGGGATTCGGGACACCTGTAGACCTGTCCCAAGACACCTTTGGGAGATAGTACAGCATTTGCACTTGACAGGTGCAGAGGTGGTGGTTTTAAATTTAATCCTACACTTCTAAATGTGTAATACTTCACGGTACTGGGAGAATAATGGGATTTAGAGACCAGAAAACAAAAAGGCAGAATTAAATGAGAATGGAGGCAGGGCACAGAGTACAAAAACGGTGCCCTCTACTGTAAGTAGCTGACGTTCTCAGTAGCCAAGTGTTTAGACATCTCTCCTCCTAGGTGAGCTGGCTCTTGCATACAGACGGGACAGGTTGGAAACGTTTTAGAAGAATTGCTTAAATATTCACAAATGCTTCAGCTTTGAAAACTTTTAATGAGTATTTTTGTAGATGTTGTGATAAATGCTCTTTCTGGGGAACATCATTTTGTCCTTAATTCATCGGGTCTCTAACACCAACTAAGCCTACTCATTTGTTGAGACCATTTAGAGCATTAATTAAAGACTGGGTAGCATTTAAAAGGCTGTGCTGTATATTCAAGCATGTAAATGTACTCCTAATATTGCTTATTAACAGTTGTATACTTAAACTGTGTATGTAACATCAGAGGGAAACTCACGAAAGTAATGTAATGAAGGGCGAACTAATTGCTATGGTTCAAGAACTCATTAAAAAATGTAATATATGGGACCAGCAGTTAGCGTAATGGTTATGTCGCTGGACTCCCACGTAATTGACCGCGGTTCGAGTCCCAGACCCGGTGGCTTTTACTCACGCCAGGCGCGTGTGCGTGCGAGCCCAAGATCCCAAGAGGAGAATGGAGGAGAAGGGATTGTGGCGTGGCCATCCCCCCTGGGGGGTGATTTCTCGCTTTCTGTCTCTCTGTCTCTCTCTGTCTGTCTGGCGAGCGCACACGCCCTATAGCAAAAACCTCTCCAAAAAAAGAAAAAAAATGTAATCTATAATTCAGGAAAAGACAAGCTAGATGATAGATAAAAATCACAGCTCTATCTGAAAATGTATGGAAATCTTCCATTTTAAATATTTTTATATTGCATGTGTTTAGACCATAGTAGAGGTTGGAAGGAAGCCACAAGGTTCATATATTTTTGTCTTTTAAAATTTTTAATAGAATTATTTTATTTTAAATTTGACCAGAGAGAGAGAGACAAAGGGAAAGTGAGAAAGTAAGCCACCAGGTCTGAGACGTGAACTGCAGTTGGCCATGTGGGAGTCCAGCACT